CTAAAAGGGATAAAGTATTACATTGTACATCAACAGTCAAGACAAGGGCTGATCAAGTCACTGTTTCTCATAGTGTCCATTTCACTTCAACAGGTTTCCCCTTTGGTGCTCAGTTAGTTTTCGCCGATCAGGGAGAACATATGATATTTGTCCCTTTGGGACTGGCTTAATTTATTCAGCATAATGTTTTCCAGATTCCTCCATTTTGTTGCAAATGACCAGATTTCCTTGTTTTTTTACTGCTGTATAGTATTCTATGGAGTACATGTCCCATAATTTCTTTATCCAGTCTACTGTTGATGGGCATTTGGGTTGGTTCCAGGTCTTAGCTATTGTGAATTGAGCTGCAATAAACATTAATGTGCAGACAGCTTTTTTGTTTGCCAATTTAATTTCCTTGGGTAAATTCCAAGGAGTGGTATGGCTGGGTTGTATGATAGGGTTATATTCAGGTTTCTGAAGAATCTCTAGACTGACTTCCATAGTGGCTTAATCAGTTTGCATTCCCACCAACAGTGGGTTAGTGTCCCTTTTTCCTCACATCCTCTCTAGCATCTATTGTTGGTAGAACCCCCAATATATTTCTTTTTAAAAAAAGATTTTATTTATTTATTTGAGAGAAAGAGTTACAGTGAGAGGGATAGAGAGAAAGGTTTTCCATCCATTGGTTCACTCCCCACATGGCTTCACCTGCAGGAGCTGTGCCAATCTAAAGCCAGGAGCCAGAAGCCTACTCCAGGTCTCCCACATGGGTGCAGGGGCTCAAGTGCTTTCCCAACCCACAGCAGAGAGCTGGATCAGAAGAGGAGGCGCCAGGACTAGAACTGGCGCCCATATGAGATGCCAGCACTGCAGGCAGAGGATTAACCTACTGCGCCACAGTGCCAGCCCCAGTATATTTCTAAATTAATGATAATGCCATGCTTTGACTGACGATATGCTTGCCGCTTTGGCAACTCAGTAGCTTACTCAATCTGAGTCTCCATTTCCTGTTCAAGTGAAGGGACTGGCAGGCTTCCCCAAAAGTCAGAAGTTAACAAGGCCCATCATGCCCCGTTGCCACATCCAAAAAGACGCACATTTTATCCTGTTGACTTAATATTCTTTTAGGGCCCAAAAGGCCATCTGTGGTTGTTGTGAGACTTGCTGTCATGTGCACACACAAGCACACTATTCTGAGTTCCTCCTGGTTACCGGCTTTGGAATGGCTAAGGGATGCAAGGATGGCAGTTTGCAAACAAGAATTCACCCAGACAGCACTACTCAACGTTTTAGAAGACTTAGCAACTTAATTAGATGCTAGAATTTTTTAGATACTATTACACATTACAGATGGGACAGTCACCTGTCTATTTGTCAAATGGGTTTTTTTAGGTCAGAGCTCTATTGTCTATATTGTACTCTACCTCAGATCACTCCAAAACAGAGAAATAACTTAATTTTAAAGGTGTAATTCCTAGAAGGTATTTCTCAACTCCATGCAGTGATCAAACAGGGATTAAAAGACTTGTAATTGGCCGGTGCTGCGGCTCACTAGGCTAATCCTCCGCCTTGCGGCGCAGGCACACCAGGTTCTAGTCCCAGTCGGGGTGCCGGATTCTGTCCCGGTTGCCCCCTCTTCCAGGCCAGCTCTCTGCTGTGGCCAGGGAGTGCAGTGGAGGATGGCCCAAGTCCTTGGGCCCTGCACCCCATGCGAGACCAGGATAAGTACCTGGCTCCTGCCATCAGATTAGCGCGGTGCGCCAGCCGCAGCGCACTGGCCGCGGCGGCCATTGGAGGGTGAACCAACAGCAAAAGGAAGACCTTTCTCTCTGTCTCTCTCTCTCACTGTCCACTCTGCCTGTCAAAAAAAAAAAAAAAAAAAAAAAAAAAAAAAGACCTGTAATTGACCAGCCTCCTGATCTAAAGCCTGTCCTCAACACAATTTCATGTTTACACATTTACACTCATTAAACAATTTTTAAAGGAAGAATAAAAATAATTCTGCATGTATTTATAGTGTCTGGCCTTCCAAAAGCTTAGATGGTCATATGTCGCTCACATGTCTTCCACACTACCTCTGAGAAGAGATGTACTTTTTCTTAATTCCATCCAGTTCTTGCAAAAGGCACATGAGTCAACAGAGAATAAGTCTCAGTCACAGGAGCATTCAAAGTAGCAGATTTGAGCAAAGAAACAACACAAATATGACCAACACAAATGGAAGCAGAGAGAGAGGCAAGCATGACATTAAAGCATTATGGTGAAAAACAAAACTAAACAGTTGGGTGCTCAACAGTCCCTTCATTTCTTACTCCTTGCCATCCCCTCGGAATTCATCACATAACCGTTTATAAAGTACAAGGTCTTCTTGGGACATGATCAGCATCAACGACTTCCCTATGTCCTCGCATTAAAGCATTCTGAGATCCATGTTCCATCTTACTCTTCCTACTCATCTACAGATAGCAGCAATCGACTTTCAACTATGTAGAACAACAAAAAAATCACCATACCATAACAAGTGTTACTAATGCTTTAAAAGTATGAAATAAATTTTAAGATTATATTATTATCTAGTGTTTTTGTTTTAAAAATTTTGTGCTCTGTAGCATCCTAGAAGAACACTGCCATCCACACCCAGAAGCTGCTCAGCTCACACAGACTTAACACAACAATCCAGTTAAATTAATTTACTTATTGCCTGTAGAACCACTAGGGACAGAAATGCCACAGCAAGACAAAAGTGGGGAGATACGTGACTGCTCTGTAGGTTTTGGGAATAGTTTCCTTTTGGGGGTTGGGACTACAGGATAGATATCTAAGGGAGACACTGAACCAAAATCTACAAACACCATTATGGGTAGTTCCACTAGGCCACTCCAAGGTAGCTGACATTCCACTGTGGCAGAAACAGCAGGGAAAAAAACAGTCAGATGAACTGGAACCTGCAAAACTGACGATCAGATAGATATATGAGTCTCCTGATCACCCTAACAGTAACCTACATCTTATTTGTGGAAAAGAAATTAAACCGCTTACAAACAAGCCTAGGTTTTTTGTTTCTTCTTCTTCTTCTTCTTCTTCTTTTTTTTTTTTTTTTTTTTTGCAATTCTGATGAAAAACATACGCACTTTTATGGATATGCAATGGAAACCAATTTTTTAGCTGCAATAAAAAGCATTGGAAAAGCCTCCTAATTCTCAGTGACTCACCCAAAAATAAAAATCCTCTTTTGTTTCTTTCATAAAGTGATGCCCTACCAAGTGCATTGGAATTCTATGGTTTCTTTTTAAAACTTATTTATTTATTTGAAATGCAGAGGGTGGGGAGGGGGGAGAAAAAGAGAGAGATGAAAGGAGAGAGGGACAGAGAGCTTTCATCCACTGGTTCACTTCCTAATAGGCAGCTCTGAGCCTGCCTGAAGTCAAGAGCCAGGCACTCCATCCAGGTCTCCCACATGAGTGGCAGGGGCCCAGGTACATGGGCCATCATCTGCTGCCTTCCAGGGTGCATTGGCAGGAAGCTGGATTGGAAGTAGAATACACAGGATGCAAACTTGCGCTCCGATATGGGACACCAGCATCGCAAGCTGCTCCACGACGCTGGCCCCTGGGATTCTTCAGGTGCCACCCTCTGCACGAAGATGATAGAACTGACATGCGTGAACTCTATGGGCTCATTTTCATAATAGAGAGAGTTTGATAAAACAGTTCCACTCTCTCTTCTGAAATCCCAAACTCGAGGCAAGGATTTTGGAAGTAAGGAGCCAGAATGTGACCAAAGCACCACTCAGCTTGAAAACCTAAAACAAGGCCTTAGAGTCACTTACTTACCCCACTCCAGGGCTACCAGGGTTGCTGATATGTTACTTAACCTATGTCATGCACACTCTGGGAGTCAAAGCGTTAAACCGTCCTCCGAGAGCACGGACTGACTTTAGCAGGCTATAACAGAGCAAACTTTATCTATGGCTAGAGTGACTTTCTGTTCCTTAACTTTCTTTGGGAGGCTTACAGTGAATGGGCTCAATGTTATCAAGAACACCTAGAGACTCACCACATTTTGTCTCTCGCTTTTAAAATTTGTCTTAGCTCTTCAATGCCTTTTTTATTTTTTAAGGATTTATTTATTTATTTGAGAGGCAGAGATCCAGACATCGATAAGGAGAGAGAGAGAGAGAGAGAGAGAGAGAGAAAGAAAGAGAGAGGTCTCATCACCAAAGGAAACAACTCCCCAAAGAAAACAACTCCCCAAAGGGCAGCCAATAGCTGGAGCTGAGCCAATCCAAAGTCAGGGGCCAGGAGCTTCTTTTGGGTCTCCCACGCAGGTGCAGGGGTCCAAGCACTTGGGACATCTTCCACTGCTTTCCCAGGCCATTAGCAGAGAGCTGGATCAGAAGTGGAGCAGCCAGGACTTGAACTGGTACATGAACTGTACGTACGGGATGCTGGTGCTGCAGGTAGAGGCTTAACCTATTATACCACAGCGCTGGCCCCCATGAATGCCTTTCAAAAATTAATTAATCAATTTCTATTTTACTTGTTTACTTGAAAGTCCAGAGACAGAGAGAGAGAGAGAGAATCTTCTATCCACTGCTTCATTCCCCAGTGCCTGCAACAGCTGGGAGTAGACGAAGCTGAAGCCAAGAACCTGGAATTCATAATCTTTGTCACCTCCCTTACCCTTCCCTCTGATCTGACAAAATCTACCTTAGTATCTGAAAATGGCATGCCTACAACCTTACAAATTCCAATTAAAGAAAGATTAATACAATGTAAATCATTTTCAAAAAATCTTGTCATATGACATTCAGAAAGTCTAGTACCAACAGCAGTATTAAAGGCACTATAAATTCATTACAAAAAGGTATTTCTTAAATGATCTCCATGGTGGCTTATTTCTAAGAATGGTCAAGGAATTTCAAAGAGGGAAAATGACAGAAAAAAAAAAAAAAAAAAAAAAAAAACTACGTTGTCTTTCTTCATTGAACCTGACTACCGCATTCACAGTTAACCTACCTCAAGTTTAAGTAAGTCAGCATCTGCAGGTTGATGATGGCCTCGGGAATGACTCGGATGCAATTGTGATACAGATTAAGAATTTCCAGTGATACGAAATGGCACAATTCCATTGGAACTTCAACCAGTCTGTTTTTAGATAAATCTGTGAGAGAAGAAAAGAACATTTTGTCAATAAATCCTCAACAAACTCATATTATCTTATTATTCATGAATATTTTTCAATATTATAATCTGAAGTTAGATTGACATGATCATTTTTTGCATCTGTTACCATAGTGTTATGATTTCTAATTTCTTCGCTACATTCAGCTACACATGGGATAAGAAAAAACAAAAGAATTGGTAAAACTTTTAGCTTTCTTAATTTGCAAACCAAGACATGAGAGGGAAATTTCTTCCTCTATCTTGCAATTATCTCAAACTCATGCTACTTTATGCATTCCAGAAAAAAATCCATTCTTCAATATATTTGAATACATATACTTACAATAATTATTAACTCAATTTGGCATATATATGTGTAACACACATATACATATGTATAATCTTTTGAACTGGGGAATACACTTTTATACACAAGCAATATGACTTTCATACCCTCTGCATGTAATAAAACTCTACACAAATATTTTATTCACTAAAACCACAAGAGAAATCAACATCTATTAAGAACCAAGTCTTTCTGCCACATGACCACCAGGAAAACTGGAGACCACCAACCAAGTGTATAAAAACGGTAATACTGGTCTACAGAGTGACGTAAGCACGCAGCATGCAAGGCTCACAGTATCGCCCCTCACCAGTAAAATGACGGAATAACCCCTAATACGTAAGTCTCAGAATGGGAGACATGACTGCCAAACATCATAAAACACTGGATATGAGGAAAGAGTCAGCTCTCCCGAAAACACGACCTCGACGGTAAGACATCACCTCGTCCTGCAGCAATGAAAATGCCTAGTGAACAACACGCCACATGCACCCTGACCAAGGGGAGGGATGAAGGAAACGCAAGTAGTTCAGTGCCATCCTGGGAGTGGGAGTGCAGGAGCTACATCCCCTGACGCCCCCACCAGTAAACAAATATACAAATAAATAGCACCGAATGGCTCCAGAGGGGGAACTGTAACAAAAATTTTTAAAGGAATAATCTGATAATATTTCAACCATTCCAACCCATATAATAAGAAGGAACATTGCCAAAATCTTACTTAAAAAGTTAGGTATAATATTGGCATGATCACCTAACAAGGAAAGTACATGAAAGGGAAACTACATATCCATGAACCTACTAAACACTGATGCCAATCCTTAATTCTAAACATTAGCAAATAGAATTCAGTAGAACATAAAAATATTAACATACGGTAAGTGGGATTTATCTAGTAATAAAGGTTATTACAACAATTTGACATACAAGTAGACCAAAGGTGAAATAGCATATGATAATCTCCATGGATACTCAAAAGACATTGGATAAAATGCTATGTTCATTTGTTATTAAGAACGTTTTATTGAGGTGTATTTTTATATACCAAAAATTGACCCATTTCAAGTTTACAATGCATTGACCCCCCCGTAACTTTACTGAGGTGTGTGTTCAACATCAGGTATCACTTTTAGAACATTTATATTCATTCTCTTTGTTTTCCCTGTTTTTTTTTTTATTAACATGAAGAACCTGTACATTTTTTTTTAATAGGCAGAGTGGACAGTGAGAGAGAGAGAGAGAGAGAAAGGTCTTCCTTTGCCGTTGGTTCACCCTCCAATGGCCGCCGCGGCTAGCGCGCTGCGGCCGGCGCACCGCGCTGATCCGATGGCAGGAGCCAGGAGCCAGGTGCTTTTCCTGGTCTCCCATGGGGTGCAGGGCCCAAGCACCTGGGCCATCCTCCACTGCACTCCCGGGCCACAGCAGAGAGCTGGCCTGGAAGAGGGGCAACCAGGACAGAATCCGGCACCCCAACCAGGACTAGAACCCGGGGTGCTGGCGCCGCAGGCGGAAGATTAGCCTATTGAGCCACAGCGCCGGCCGAACCTGTACATTATTATGGGGTACACCGCTATACTCTAACCATGTAAAGAGTGTAAACTGATTAAATTAATTGACGAGCATTTCAGTTTTCTCATCTTTTATTTCTGCTTAGAGACTACCGGCTCCTCTCTCCCAGCTCCACGTGCAGCATTGTGAACTGCAGTCACCCACTGTGCCGGGGAACTCTAGAACCCACCACCTGCTTCTGACTGTGCCTTGGTGCCCAGGATACAACTGCTTAGCAAAACTAGAAGAGTCAGATACTTCCTTTCATGATTCACACACACACACACACACACACACACACACAAAGAGAAAGTGGATGAGAGAAGGGAAGAGAATGCTTTTATTTACTACTAAAATTATATTTATCAATATATTTATATCAATTATATTTATCAGTGTTCAGAAAATAACCAGAGGAAGGTATTAGGCAAGGAAAGGAAACAAGACTCAAAGTTGGAAAGGATAAGACAAAGCTACTTATTTGTAGATAAGATGATTGTTCTTCTGTAAAATCCAAGAGTTATCAACAGAAAATAACAATGATACAGGGACGAAAACTAATATGCTGAGGCATCAGGCTTCACACACGAACTAGCAAACTGAGATAACAGCAGAGACCTACCTATGGCAATTACAGAAGGGTGAGAGACTTAATTTTCTTAAGAAATAGCATAGAGTTTATATGAAGAAAATGGCAAAATGCAACACAAAAGTTAAACCCATCAAAAAGCTGTTCCATTAACTAAAGAAAACTCCATATCAAAAAGGTGTCCATTCTGTTATACCTGAAAGATTTAAAATGCACTTCTAACTTAAAAAAATTGTTTAAGGATTATCAGATAAGGGGATTCTAAAAGGCATGTGGTAAAATAACAGCACAAAATGATAACATCTCTCTCCAAAAAACAGGAGCTAGGAGAGGAACCAGCTGTGCCAGACATCAAAAATACATGAGAAAGCAATGTGGTGGATAGATGGGAAGCTCATTGGAACAAACTGCAAAGATGAGAAATGAGACAAAGAGATACACATACAGAAATCAACTGTGCAGCCCAAGCGGCACTTGAAGCCCACAGGGAGAAAATGCAAAGTCAGGTGGTTGCTTGAGAAGCTGCTGAGCACCTGAAACCATCCAGAACCCTGCCTCACTGCCAACGACAAAGTCATGGCAGCAATAGGGCAACAGGTGGGAAACTACGGTTTAGGACCTTAGGATAAGGAAGGTCTTTCCACAGATGACAGAAAACCAAACAGATAAATCTGACACATAAAAACACAACTCAAGGCATTTTACAACTAACGGAACTTCACCCATGCATGTGTGGGGGCTGGGGGTGAAGTCCTACCACTCATAAATCCAACAGGCTAATCTTTTTTACGTAGAAAGAGCTTCTACAATCAGTAAGAATGAAACTGAGGGAAATACACTAGGAAAAAGATGGCTCACAGAACAGGGCACACAAATGGGTCGTAGGCATAAGGATAAGAGTCATCAACCTCACTGGAATCGCAGCAATGCAAATGACAGCCCCATGGAGACAGTTCAACTAGGCTGAGGAATACAAGATCGGGTACGCACACGGTAATGCTGAGGCTGTGGAGCACATTAGGTGGAGAACATTTTAGGAATATCTACCAAAATGAGGAGCTTAGAGCAAAAGGCAGAAGGCAGCAGCTCTGCAGGGTGAGGAAGCGCCGACACTGACCAGTTAATCATCTTACCATGACCTGGAAATTTGCTGAGAGTAGATTGTTAGGTGCTTTTGCCACACACACGCGCACACACACACACATACACAGGAAACTACACAAGATGGATTAGTTAACTTGGTTGACTACAGCTGTCATTTCACTATGTGTATATACATGTACCAAAACATCATGTTGTCTACCTGAAGTACCTATGACTTAACAGCTACAAATATAATTCAGCTTAGCAACCTTTCTTCATCTACGGATGCAGTCATATGTGTGCAAGTGATACATTTTGAAACAGCAAAAGATAAAAAGCAATTTAATTATCAGTGAAGGCTGGTTAAATATTAATTTACCATTAGTAAATATCATAAAGATGGCTAAAATTAAAACAGCCAATCCATACTAATGTGATTTTAATTCTGATGGAACGTAACATTAATCATATTCCATAATGGAACATTAAAACTATGCAGCTATTAAAATGAATGATGTAGCTCTATATGTGCTGATAGGAAACCACCTCCAAGACACGGTGTAAATGGTTTTTTAAAAGCAAGTACAAAACAGTGTAGAGAGTATCTGTGTTTTCTAGTGGATACTTACATAACCATTTAGCTGTAAATATTTTATCTCTGAAGGGCTAGACAAGAAATTGGTAGAAGGGGTTATTTCTGGAGCAAGGATCTCTGTCTAGGTGGACAGAGGGAGTGAGAGGGAGGAAGCTTCTCACGGTGGATCCTCTGTATCTTGAGATGACATGACATGAAATACATGCACATTTCCACAATATGCAGAATCATCTGTGTGTGTGTCTAATTTTTTAAAGCAATGAACCCTCTCATCAGTATTGTTATTCTTTTTCTACTTAAAGAATTTGTTTTATGAGAAAAGAGTTAAAAAGCCAAAGAAAACTCTGAGGTGAGGTCCTTCTTATTCAATTAAAAGGAAACACTGAAGAAAGCTTCCTTTCATGAATGTTTAGAACCTAAACAGAAAAAAATTCCAGAAGTCTCTTGCATTCTTACTTCCTGAAACCCTTCATTAGATGTGGGTGATTGCACCGGACTACAAATGTTGGAAACTTGCCCGGAGAACTCGTATTTGTCCTTCAGGTTCAACTACAAGAAAATTCCACTGAGGTTCTAGTTTACGTTCCAACTTTACTTTTCTGAGAATTGCTAGAACTATATGATCCAGTTGGATGCAGAAAGATATAGAATGTTTCAACAACTTTCAGGTAAAAAAAAATTTTCAGTAGTTTCAGTGTCACTGATGTTTTAAAAAATTTACTTAAATTGTTTGAAAGGTGGAGACAGAGGGATATCTTTTTACCTGTTGGTTTACTGCCCAAATGCCCACAACAATCAAGGCTGGGCTGGGCTAAAGTCAGGAGGCTGGAACTCAAT